GCCCCAACTAGGGCCCGAACCCTCAACCCAGGCCTGTGCCCTGACTGGGAATTGAACCAGCGACCTTTTTGCTTTGTGGGATGATGTCTAATGAAGTAAGTCACACAGGTCAAGGCTTCCAGCTTTTTTGTTTCATACTCATAGTGTCTTTCGATGATATTTAATCAGTTTTGGCCACTCTGGCTAAAGTTTGAACCTTTCTCCATGTCTGTTTGTAGCACCATCATCCCCAGATTCAGATTTCTGGCCTCAGGCTGGGCCGGCCTGTGACGCTGGTTCCAACGGGGCAGGAAGTCACCCAGGCCTGGCTAGAATCCTGCCTCTGCCACTTAATAGGTGAGAAATTCAGGGCAAGTTATGCAACACCTCATATCTTCTCCTCCCTTTTACCCAGGAAAAGGGTACAAATATCTACCTTGGATGTTGTGAGGATTAACCGGAACGCATTTAAGACATCACAGGGCACATTTTAAACTAGCTAGTAAAAGCCACTTTTATGGGCAACTTTCTGTACGGAACTGTAGATTTGGGGGAAGACCACGTTCCGAGTGAGCATTCCGAGCCCCCTACAGCCAAGTTCGTTCGTGCCACCTGTGCGCTGATGCTCCGTGTGCAGGCATCGTCCTATGGTCAGAGGTCCTTCTGCTTTCGTTTCTTTTGTAGGCATTTGTTTTCATCCTTTTGCCAGTTTGGTTCCAGGCACAAAGCTGTTTCTGGCTTGCTCTGTCAGGGGAAGGTCCAAGGCTGGATGGACGCAGCCACAAACGATATCCTTCTCTAGCAGCTGGCTTGTCCAAACCACCACGAAATCCGGGGCCCTGGCTGTTCTGTCATAATGAGATGCTCTAATATTTTAAAAAACAAACGTTGAAAAAGAAAAAGCAGATGAATGCAGAGCCTGTCTTTTGGCCCAATCTCTTGTGTTTCAGATTAATGGGGCTTCGTAGGAATTTGGAGCCTGCATTTCCCTGGTAGACCATTTGGAAAGAGGAGTGTAAACTTCGGTCCCCATCTTGGATGTGGGTGTGAGCTACTTGTTTCCTACATCAGCTGCTACCTTCTAATTTTCTTGTTCCTGATTTCTTTTCTTCCATTTTAATCTCATTCCAATACTGTTCCTTTAGCTCCTTTCTTTAATCAGTTTTGACTTCTATGGTACTTCTTTTGACTAAAGGTCCCTTCTAAGGGAACTTTTTGGCATAAAGCCACAAAGAAAGATGTGGGAAGATCACTTACACATGTCAAAGCTGAAAGGGCTCAGAAGTCCTCTAACTTAACGGTTCTCAAACAGTGTTCCTTGGAACCCCAGGGGTCCAGGGAAGTCCGCAAGACTTTTACAGGGAAAAGAGGCTCAGCTGGGCCTGAAACTACTCGATCTTAACGTTCCTGCTTCATTTTAGATACGAGTGTTCAGCACACAAAATATTTTTAAAGGGTTCATTCGAAAAATTAAAAACCACATATATAGCTCAATTCTTTCATTTTGTAGATGAGGAAGGACACCGAGGCCCAAGTGATTATCTGTAAATTTACAAATGTCTGCTTGGTGGATGAGCTGGGGCTGGCGGCCTCAGGGGTTCTTGTTTATGTCAACTCTGGCATCGCTCCGATGGGACTGTGTCCCTGTGTCAGAGGAAGAGGCTGAGGCGGGACGTTTGCGAACCGTTCTCAGCCAGCGACGTATTTGGGAGTAGCAGCCTGCTTCCGTCCGACTGGTCCGTCTACAGCTTGTTACAGTGTGGGGATGAGGCCAGTGCTAGAAGATTGGGGAACAGGGGATAAGCTGTTTGTTTTATTCTCATGTCAGTTTTGCTAGAATGTCCCTTTTTTGTTTCATACTGGAATGCCCATCACCCTAGACCCAAGATGTCTGGTAAGCTCTCTATAGTGAGTGTACACAGACCAGCCCTCACCTTCCTGTGAGCTGTGCAGGGCCTCAGGGATACAAAGGTGAGGGCAGGCACGTGGGTGCCAGCTGGGCGAAGCTCGGAGCTGCGCCCCAGGAGGGGTCCCCGAGTTCTGGTCTCCACCAAGCCCTCGAGTCTCCGCCCCTCACTTCACGTGTCCAATGTATCCTTGGCCAACGGTTCCTGGTCTGTTTGGATACCATGACTCGAGAAAATGTTTGAAATGACTTTGGGGGCTGACACGGGATTGCCAATATTTTACTTTCTAATAACAATGAACATCTATCACCATAAAAATTATCGGAAGACCAAAAACGCAGGAAAGATGGAACTGGAGAAGGGAAAGCTCTTCCCCACAGAGGACAAGCTGGCGCCACACGCCGATCATCCTGCCTGGTGCTCGTTTTGTTCCCTTGGTGGTGGATCCATAATGACCCCTCTCCGGCCTGGGCCTGGCAATGTCCTGGGCCACAGGCACCTTGGTTTCTGTAGCTTCTGCCGTGTCAGACCGTGGGCACCTGCGGCACCACTGAAACACCATCGGATTCGCTGGCCAATAACAAGAGGGCATCTCAGCCTCATTCCACGGGGAAGAAACTAAAGCCGGGGATGTTCTCGTCCAGTGTGCTGCCCCCTGGCATTCACAGTGTCCCAGAAGAGACAGGGGCAGGTCATGACAGTTATATCCACTCACTGCATAAAAGAAGCGCATTTCCCATTGATTTCAGACTGAGCCCCACAGTTTGGACATTTCCCAACCATATGGGACCAGCTCGAGGACAGTGGTGACCTGACATCAGGCACAGTGGGAGCCAGGCTGCTGGTGATGAGAACCAGTTGGAGAACGGACACATTACGAACAGTGTCTGGTGTGGTCCAAATGTGGCATATACTTGCTAATCCAACATGCTCATGTGAAAATGTTTAGACAATACATTTAAATAAATTAGAATACAATGACAGAGAAACAACTTGGAGGGATTTCTTCTTTAGCGAAAAATAAATCAAGAACTTTTTAATCAATGAAGCTTAAAGATGTCTATGGGTGGAACTGAAAGAAGCCCTACGGGGAAGGGAGGAGGGCTCAGAAAAGGAATGGATTGAAAATTGGGAAACTGGGGCCAGAGAGGCAGGTCTACAACTTCCAGACTGCGCGACAGTCATTGGGAGAGACGTGGTTTGGTGCCCAGAGCACAGGATGCTGAGGGCTCATCGACCGGGGCTCGCACTCTGGCTCTCTCTCCAAGGCCACGCGCCCGTTGGTAGTCTCCATTTCCTTATTTTTCACACGGCTGGTGGGGACTACATGGTCATGGTAGATCTGCTACCACATACCCTACAGAGGAGACAGACTAACGGAATGAAGAAAGCTTGATTCATCCACTAAACAGAAAGGGTCTGGAGCCCCGGTGGTCTCTGCAGTGGCCCGGACTGCTGGCGGGGTCCACGAGCCCTTTTTTCTGCATTCCCTGATGCACGCCGGCAGGACCCCCCACGCGCTAAGGAACACGGCCCACCCCGTCCCCATGGTCTTTTGTCAGTGAGCCGTGAACAAACCATACACAGAGAGGAGCTTCTTTTTTTCTTCAATTTAATTGAAGTTACTTAGAAAAATAATCAGGCTTGAATGGCTTTTCCTGGAGGCAGGGTCATGAACGTGTCACGCGCTTGTTGGCAACGTGGAATTTGGCTTTCTTGAACAGCACAGCAAGGGGCAGGGAGCCCTCTACAACAAGCCCTCTACTGCATACAAATATGTAAAAAAGTCACACTCCACAAAGATGTGGAATTATATACGTCCGTATGCCACACTGAGCATGCTCGTAAGGAAACGGTACGGGCGGCCCCATCGGCACCTGACCGAGAAGCGGACTGAAAGGGACTGTTAACGGCCACCAGCCGAGCTGGTTGCAGAAGGTCCTGTTGCCTGTTCACAGGGTCCCCTTGGTTGTGGTGGGAAAGAGCCGGAGGCAGTGCTGGTTGTAGGAACATGGGAGAGCGAGGAGGTCAGTCCTGCTGACGTGGGAGTGGGCAAGGAAGGGCTTTTGCTCTCCAGGATTGTACAGAAGGGGACAGCTTTGATGGTGTGTGTGTGCGCACGTGTGCATGCATGTAGGGAAGGACTGGGCTGAGGGATGTGCTCTGAGCACCAACCACAGGGACAGAGTCCCCTCTTGCCAGGTTAGAACAGGGACTTCTGCAACCACAGCCTTGGCACTGGTACAGACGCCACCAGCTAAGTGTGCTAGGGACTCGCTTTTGCTGAGGGAACTTTCTACTAGCAGGGTTTCCAGACCCTTCAGTTCCTCGTTTCTAGGGCTTTGCCGCTGGGAGCACTGGTCCAACAGAAGTGTCCACCACCTGCTGTGCTCTCCTGTGGTGTCCGGATCCTGAGCAAGCAGGATGGGGAGCTCACCTGGTGGACAGGGAAGCTCACCTGGTGGACGGGTAGGAAGGACGGTCCCCTCTGAGACACCACAGGTCAGCAGACTGCCCTTCCTCCCAGACCGGCTGGGGAGGCAGAGAGGGGGTTCCTGAGAAGCTGCAGGGATCCCAACACTGTGACTGGCATTCTAGAGTTTTCCAACCAAAAGGGCAAGGTAAGCAGGAATGTCCTTGTAAATACCACCCTGACTGCACCTGGTTTTGCAAACACAGCAGCACCTTGAAAAGTGGCTTGCAGATGGGACACCTGCCTGCACTCTTCTCCAGCTAAGCATGTGAGAGAAAGCATTTTCAAACCGTTTTCTTTTAAAAAAACAACAACAGAAAAAACCCCACAATCTCTGGTTTTCCAGGCACATTTCCACTCATGAATTCTTTTTAACCAAGGACACAGAACAATTTCTACATCCTGCAGAAACAGTGAATCAATTTAAAAATTTTTATACCATTAGAAAATAAAATATGAATACAAAACACAACACGGGGAGAAAGGTCCCTCACTGCAGAACCACACCAATGGGTCATCCCCTGAAGGACGCTCTTCCTCACTTCGGAAAGTGGAGACGGATGCAGGAAGGCGATCTGTGTGCAGCACTGAGCTCGCTCCCTTGCGGAGCCCATCAAAGGCAGACAGAGAAATGCGGAATTGCCACTGAAGGACCAAAGAGCGCACAGTGAACAATCCCAGCCTCTGGAACGGAAGACGCACTCGTCAAAGGCTGTGCTCACGCTGCTTGCATTGAGCAACCTAAGGCTTGAGGCACTGGGGGACCCTGGTGGCCTCATGCCCTCCCCACCCCAAACTTTCCTCCACTCCGCTCGGGAGGGACGGAACCGCTGCCTGTGGTAGAATCCAGGATTAGAGCCACTGCAGGTGAATTCATCTGATCGAGTGCCTCTGCTGCGTGGACACCGTGGTGCTGTTTCATTTTGTTTTGTTTTTTTTTGTTTTAGTTTTGTTTTTTGGAGGGAGGGTAAAGGGAGGAACCTTTTGTCCTGGAGGACCTCAGATGGGCTAAAGCAACCTAACCACAGTGTGCTCTGCAGAACACTAGCTCCAAGAGATGATCTGCAAAACAGGGTGTCCCGGTCACGTAAGGTCAGAAACGCTAGACTCAATGACACTCTTGGGAATTCCCAGTGCACAGCACACCTTCAAGGCTCTGAAAAGTCCTGCAGAAAGGGAACTGACTTAACTTCGTTTGCCAAGAACACGGGACCCCAAAACTCTTATTTCGCACCACACGAACTTGACATTCCCTAGAGCACGTATTTAAACATGCTGGAGAACCTGTCTCATCAGCAGAAGCCCTCTCTCTAAGGACAGTGTCCCCTGTCTGAAAATAGGGTCCAGACTTCCAATTCCGGGGACAGCCAAAAATGGTCCCTTGGCTTGGTTAAACGGGCTGCATCAATCTCTGTCCATCAAGGGTCGAGTTGCTGCGCCCTTCACAAGGGGAGAGAAATTGGAAGGAGGTACACGGCATTTATAAATAGCTCTGGCCACCTTCTCCAGTGCCCACCTCACTCACATTCAATAAAATAATTTTCTCGGTGAGATGTGGCAGCTGCTGCTTGCTGGGCTGGCTCTGAGCTTTACCATACAATTTTAATAGTTTCTGTGAATAAATTATTCATTTTTTTGTTTGTTTTAGAATATGCTTCTCACCCCTTGGCTATGCACTGCATTAAACAACATAATGAAAAGCAAAACTTACCCACACCCCCCCACCCACCCTCTATTATTAGAACTATTATTATTATTATTATATACAGTATCCACTACCAACTCATTCACTAGCTGTAAAAGGGATGTGGCTCAAACGTTGAACGAGGTGTGGGAATGTCTGGAAATGGGCAGCGTGTGCAGAGGCAACTAGCAAGGAACAGGAAGTGAACATCTGCAGCCTTCCTAGGGAAGGGGGCATGACCTACCATCACGGAAGGCTGTCCTTGCTGCTCATGCATGGCAGCCACAAAGGTGCTGATGTCCTTTTAGCCTTGGGAGGACTCGAGAGCAGGTGCGCATGTGCATGTGTGTAGTCAAGAGGCTGCCCTGACCTTCATGAGGCGTAGGAATGCCAGACCATTGCAGATCCCCAAGTGTAGGAATCCTACCATGGTATTAGGTGGCAAGGGTAGTAAACAACACCTCTACAAGAAGGTTACTGGGCTGGAGATGGCAAGAGGCAGCACTGGGTGCAGCTAACGTTCCCCTTCCCTCCTCCAGAGCAGACATCACTAATCAATCACAGCATTCTCCCATGCTATACCTGGTCAATCTGTTCTGGGGCTTAAAGGCAGGCAGTACCAATAAATAAGACCAGGCACAGGATACAAAACATTTTTGCCATCCTTTATGTTTGGCGTTGAGCTTGGATTACTCGACAAGTTTAGTGGCCTGCTTCAAGCATGTGACTTTCAAATTTGGGTCATAGAAAGATGCAGATTTGTAGGGGTCATGGACCTGCTTATGAACAGCCCAAACCACATGTTAAGTCTAAATAATCTTAGGGGTTTGCTAGCTGTCAAGCTGGAGACTCTGTGACCATGTATAACTTCCTGAGGGCTGAGACTATTGGCTTTGCTCAGGGCTCCAGCTGCAGGCCCTAGAATGAGGCCCAACACATAGCAGTTGCTCGATAAATACTTGCTGACTATAAAGCAACAGCCACTTCACCTTCATCACAACTGGCACTGCCAGTTAAAATTTTATTGAGAAAAGCCTATGCTAGCAGACTACTAATTCTGGTGAAAAGAAAAAAAAAGCTACAATCAGTTCTCTTCTTGGGTTAAACAAAAATCACATTTCTTTAGGGCAAGGGACGTTGGGGTTGATTGAAAAATCGGTTTGGAGTTCGTCCCTTGCAAAGGTGCCTCTTCCCATTTATTTCCAGCAGAATCTCAAGCATGGTGGCATCAGCACACATCACAACGGCTGTTATCACGCAGGGAGTCTCTGAGCGGCGAGCGGGGACATTCACACCCCGGATGAGCCAGAGTGAGCGAAGAGTGAAACACAGATTCCTTGTGCAGAAACATGGGACTCTTGCTGCCACAAAATGAACTCTATACAGAGACTATGTTTAAATAACTATAAATAATATTAATTAGAATTTGTGGAATGCACACTTCGTGGAATTCACCAGAACACAAGGAGACCTCTGAGACAGTGTTGCAGTGTTCGCGTCTAGAGACAGGGACCCCCCTGCTGCCCTGCCCAGACGGCTTGTCCTTCCCTACCCAGGGCTTTAAATAATTCTCACCACGCTGCTCGCAGCATCATCCCCAAAGGAATATTAATTTACAAAATAACCCAATATTCATATAATTCTTTTTGACAAATAAAAATCTTAAATTAAAAAGCACAATTCTCTCCCTCGCTCCCCCCCACCCCCTTTATTCCAATTTCAGGTAGCTTGGCACTGAGTAATTGAACATTAAAAAATCGAGTTTGTAGACTTCGTACAGCTGCGTTTGGTGCTCTGAGCTGATGTTCTGGAAGAACTCTGTGGTCATTTCGTCAGTAGTTCTTGTGGACTTGGCGTAGGTGGGGAACTTCAGGTAGCTGCCCACGCCCGCCAGCTGCAGGACGTAATTAGAATCCTCCTCCAGCGTCTCGTACTTGCCCACGAGGTCGTAGTGGATGTGGCAGGGGTGGCAGAGGGAGTAGACGGTCTGCCAGTGTTCGTTGAAGGGCTCCTCGCGCTGCGTGTGCGGGTCGATGAGATAGGCCACGAACTCCTCGAACTTGACGTCGTCCCCTCTGCGCAGGGCCTCCTGCGTGGCGTTCTTCCGCTGGCGCTTGATGATCTTGGTGCCGTAGCGCTTGTGGAAGGACGTGTTGTACTTCTGGGTGAACTTGTTGCGGTAGGCCGACACCAGCCTCTCGAAGGGCTCGCGGACGAACAGGAACTTCATGTAGCTTTTCAGGCGGTGGTTGATCTCGGGGATGCTGTACTGGTTCAGGGTCTTCAGGTTGGCGGAGACGTGCGCCTCGTTGGCCGGGATCTCCATGGGGTCGCTGTACTTGCCCCGCCCGGTGAGGACCATCATGAGCCGCTTCCAGTTGGTGCAGGCCACCTTGGGCACGTAGCAGTAGATGAGCTCGTGGTCCTCATCCACCACCAGGTGCTTCAGGTCGTTGGGCGTCAGCACGCGCCGCTTGCGGCTCATGGCGCTGTTGGCCCGGCAGGTGTCTGTGACCTGGTCCCGCCTCATCTGGTGAAGGACCGCGGTGTTGGAGAGCTCCAGCTGCAGAGGGACACAAGAGGAATAACAATTCAATACTTGTGAGGGGTATTCCCATGTTTCCACATCCATAACCCTGATGGCCAATGCAGGCCACCAAGGCAGCAATGGACCCCTAAGCGGCCTATGCCTGCATTGATTTCCCCCCAGCTAGTTCTGCTTTGTGCCACCATCCTCCCTTCGTAGAATGACAGAACGATCAACTCCATCACTTATCCGCCACCTTCCACATGACTGGCATTATTCCAGGGCTACATATGTATCGTTTTCCTTTTCTCTGTATAACACATTTGAACCGTTGTTGACTTATGTAATAACGTCAAGTACCTGCCACTGTGCCAGGCAATGTGCTGCCAGGCACCGGGGATGCAGTCATAAAACATACCACGAGGTAACTACCTGTATGGAGCTTCCGGTCTAGCTGGGGAGAAACAGCAAAGTGAGGCTCAGAGAGGTTAAGTCACTAACTTGAGATCACACAGCGAGCAACAGACAGAGTCAGCATTCAACTCAGGTCTGTGGTCTCCCTCAACGTGCAGCACTCCATCTTCTTGAGTGAAGTGGAAAGACAGGATGGACGTCTGGCATTTGGCTGCTCTACTTTAATGCAAGGGGAGCCGTTTTTTCTACAAGCCTGTCATTGTGGACATCTGTTGCTTTTTGCTCCCTCTGGTACCAGTGTCTCGAGTTTCCTCTGGGAATCCGTTCTCCATTCTCAGTTCCCTTTTCTCTCAAGCTGCTGAGTTGTGAGAATGGCACCTGGAGCCTGGGGACAGAGAGGAGGGCTACCGTGCAGGGACAGCTACACTGGGAATGGAGGGGACAGAGCAGAAAGACAGAGGGATGTATTCCCGGTGACATCATCTGAATACCTAGGTCCATATGTTGTTGAAACCAGAGGCCCCCCCCCCCCCAAATTCCTGGGCTTCGGTTATGTTAGTTATTACATTTGCTTTGGTGTATAAGGCAGTTTGAGTCTGGATTATATCAACTGCAAACAAAATGTGCGGGTATTTGCACGAACTGGCTTTGAGCTTTTCGTCTCTGCCTTATTCATCTATCCATTCAAACGTGTGCAGGTCTACAATGCACAAGGCCCTCTATTCGGCTCTGCTGGGGGACACAGCCTCTTCCTACAGGGCTCACGGTCTAGGAGGCATCGCTGGCAGCCTCCATCGGGAAGGTGTGTATGCACCTCTGAATTCGAGGAGCAAACATCTCTCCCCGGAGGCTATTCACTTCCAGGCTGAACCAGTTCTCACAAACCACCGAGAATAGGAAAATGGAGGCCACGCCGCCTTGGAGTGCCTGCCTCTTGGTTTCCAGCACCCAGAGATTTCCCTGGGGTGGGGACATCCTATTGTGGCAGGCCAGCCTCAGGTCACGGAATTCGGTTAATATTTATTTTGAATAGGAGAACTGACTTTTGAACTTCCTGTCTTCTGAGCACATGTATTCATCACCGTAAGAGGAACATCCATGCCATTTAAAACAACAACAAGAAACTGTCCTAAAGGAAATAGGACCGGGAAGGAAAAAAGGCCCATCAATTTTGCCCATTTGAATCGCTATAGACACTTTTGAAGGCAATAAATTACTAAATGAGCAGAGAAACAAGGGGATCCCCCGCCCCTGCTTGCTTTTTTCTCAGCTCCTTTAGGTTGGAGACAACTCTCTGGCCTTCCCGATCCCTGCAGAGGTGGCGTGTCACCAGGCAATGCACTCAGGACCACGGCGGCATGAAAAATGGGAACGATGCCACCGTATCACCTTACATCCAATCAGAGAGACAGAAAACAGCTCCGTGGGGCTTTGAAATGCGGTATTTGAGTTTTCTTTCCCTTCCACTTCCCCCTTTCCCGCGGCGGTTGAGGTGGCCGATGGTACGCCGGTGGCGCTGAGGCAGCACGCTCCCTCGGGAGAACTCTGGGCTCAGAGAATAAGCACGTTCTGGGTGGGCAGACACAGCCAGGCCTTCTCAGAGGAGATGTTCATCTGGGCCCTGGTGTTGAGTGTTTTCTTAACGAACCATTTTCATTATTATTTTTTTTAATTTTAACTTTTTATTTTAAAATAATTTCAGACTAGTACTGATTTAACTTATTAGAAAAGTAGGCATACGTGTTCCAAAACAAACGTAAGCATTTGGGGGATGAACGACAGCAGCCTGACGGGTGACACTGTGCCACCGGGACTGAAGCCCTGCGTGAAGCGTGTCGGGTGCTTGCTGTCGGCTCTGGGCAGACTCCCTGCCCCCATGCTCGTCCGCTGCGCTATCGGAGGATTCCGTTTCCTCACCAAGTTCTCGCTTCTAGTCACTGACATTACATGACCTTGACTTGGCACAAACTCATCATTTACCTGTTTTTGTCTCTGCCCATCACTAATGAGCCAGAGACAATGAGAACAGGTGTGCACACAGCCACCAGGACCATGAATGGACACACGCGCCGTGAGTTCACCTGCAAGGACTAGAAAGGTCATCCGAGGTGGCCCTGACAATCCATAAGTGCTGTGATTAATTTCAAAATCTTATCACCAAAATAAATACACAAAGTTTATACAATTTTCATACAGAACTCCAGATCACTTGATTTAAGAAACCTAGTTAAGGGGAGCCCTGGACAGGTGAGAGGAAGAGAGTAACTCCTTGCCACCTTGCCAAAAAGGGGCAGGAGAGATTTCCGAGAGCAGCCCAGGCTGTTCCAGAAATCTCCATGTTTGTTGTATGACCAACAGCATGTAAGAAATCACATGGAAACAGCGGTTTCAAATCTTTAAAAAAAATGCAAATCTGGTCATGTCACTTCCACACTGGTCCCCAAGCTCACAGGAGCTTTTGTGACAGTAACAATTCTGGCAAGGAATGAGTTCCCTGAAAGTTAGGGACTATCCAAGGGACCCGCAGCAATGGGACAACAGGAAGATAAGGGCATGAAGGGGACTCTTCAATGAAGAACAGTTTGCTCCCATGTCACTGAAGGAGAACACCTGTCTTTCCCAGTCACATTTTACCAGTTTCACAAAGCAGAGGTTTGTTGATCTGATAATTTTCCAAGAGCTGTGAGATCAATCTCTCTCTCCTTTCACTCCTTTTCTATATTTCTTTCTCAAAGGTATTTGAAGTGACTACAACAAAGGACATACATGCAATATAAAATTGAAAGAGGGAAAAAGCAAATATACTAACTCCAAGGTCTGTGATTATTAAGGCTCTCCTTTGGTTGTAAGCTTCCTAGTAGCAAGTGCAAAAGGGGACATGTGATTAAATCTTGTTTTTGTGCTTGGAAAGAAGAAGCATTCCAAATGCTCGGGGGGAGAGATGAAGAAGGTTTTAAGCAACGTGGGAATTCCGGTCAGGGAGGGAGATTCTCGGTTCTGCTTGCTCGTGACGGAGTTTTCAGAGGGGGTGGCCTGCCCCGGCGGACCAAATACCAATGTTACGATGTACTACCACCGAAAGTCCACAGGGCACTCGGGCATTTACAGAATATTTTCACATACACCATCTCATTACAGAACCTATTGGAACTTCTCCAGAACCTACTAAAAGAAGGCTTACATTTTTAACAGACCAGCCCATACTTCCAACCACATAAATTTTGGGGGGACTCACCACCGCCAAGTATTAATCCTTCATGTTAGTGGTTCTCGACCATCAGTACATGTGGACGTCACCTGGAGGGCTTGTTAAGATATAGTTTGCTGGGTGCCACCCCGAGTTTCTGATTTAGTAGGTCAGCAATTTGCATCTCTAGCAAGTTCCCAAGTGCACTAGTTGGCCCAGGCTGCCAGAACAAATTACCACACACATTGAGTGGCTTAAACAGCAGAAATAGATTTTCTCACAGTTCTGGAGGTGCGGGCGGGGCTGGCCTCCTCTGGGCCTTTCTCCTCGGCACCTTCCTGCTGCTCTTCGCGTGGCCGCCCCTCCGCACACATTTGTACCTGGTGTCTGTTTCTTCTGATGGGGACGCTAGTGCTACCAGATTAGGGCCTTCCCAACTGGACGGAATTCAATCATCTCTTAATGTTTCTTTTTTAAATTGACTACAGAGAGGGAAAGGAAGGGAGGAAGAGAGGAAACATCAATGTGAGAGAGAAACAGCGACCAGCTGCCTCCTGCATGCACCCCGACTGGAGACTGAACCCGCAACCCAGGCATGTGCCCTGGCTAGGAATTGAACCAGCGACCCCTTGGTTTGCAGGACAACTGAGCCACACTGGCCAGGGCTAATCACCCCTTTAAAGGCCATGTCTCCAAGTCTGGTTACATTCACAGACACTGGGGGATGGGACTTCGACATATGGACCTGAGGTTGTGGGGAACCCATCCACCCGGGGAGGCCGATACAGCTGGTGCGGGGACCAAGCTCTGAGAACCACGGCATTACACTGTGGGGGAGGGACTGGAACGCAACGTCTCTCACCGTCCATAGCTATTCTTAATTACAGAACATGAAATCCAGGTGCGTCGGCGGCGGCCGGGAGACTCCTGGGTCTGCCTCCTGTCCCGGCCTCGACTCCCTCCACCTCCCTTTCATCTCCCAAAAGTATAAATTAGGCCAGAGCAAGGGCTGATTCTAGGAAACTGTGAACACGCTAAGGCTCTGGGCTGTGTCCTGCCTTCTCGTTTAGATGTCTATTTTTAATTTGGACATTTTGAAAAGGCATCTATAATTAGTTTAAGTATGAAAGTTAGGGAACTGTTTAAAAGAGTCTTTCAAACTTTACTGTGTTTCATCTTAAAAGGCAGAGGAGCTGGTTTCCCTTAAATTAAAACATCTTCTGTGGTGTTTACAATTTCTCCCAGACACCAGAACCCGAACCGAAGGAGGAGCAGCCGCCCCCACCCCCCCGAAGAAGTGGAAACCCAGAGACAAAGGGAAATTTGGAGGCATCGAGTGAGGGAGGCTCAGTCAGATCTGCCCCTGACATCCGGTAGTGCGGACCCAGCCTTGGCTTCTCCACTTGCAAATCCTAATGCAAAACCCTTCTCTCAG